CTGTATTCTCTATCCTTTCTAAACTTCCCAGGCTATGGTAAATTCTCTAAGGCTCAATGAGAATTTCTAGCACCCTCTAGGGAGAATCAGACTGGCATATTTGACAGGCCTTCCCATCTCCTTTCATTATATGCTGTGACATGAAACTTGGGTGCTGTAATCAATACTTATCTGCTTTGCTCTAGACTGGTTCTTCTTATGCTGTGATTACCACTATAATAACTAAGCTCCTTTTCTGAGCCAAAGTGGGTATCTTTAGACTGTCAGGTGGAATTTGGGAGAATCCAGACTGTTCTCTTCTCCATCAAGCAGCCTTGATAGGCTGAGGCCAAGGAAGTTGGATCAAGAATGAGGTACCTAGTGGTTTTATACAGTTTTCACTTTCTCTAGGAAAATGGAATTGCTTGCTCCTCAGCTGGCTGTGCACAACCACTAAGAGCCTCAATTATTCAATTTTGATCAATATATCTTTGTCTCCCTGCCACTGCCTCTCAGGTTGTCATCAACATTGCCATGGCACTTGCCACAGCACCCCATGAGCAAGGCCCTCAGAAAGGTTTCAACTAGTGACGCCTTGTGGTAAAAGAGCAGATACGTGAATGGGTCTGCTCCTGTGAGCTTGAGTACAAGCTCCTCAGGACAGGAGTTGCCTTTTTCTTTTTCTTCTGCATTTGTCTGCCCATGCACAGCAAAAGGGTTGGCAGTGAGATCTCTGGTAATGTAAAGACCTTGCAACAACTCTCCATGTTCATATTGCTGCTAACTCAATTCCCAAGAGGCCACTCTTTAGGGCTTCCGTTGAGAGGGAGTTTACTGATAAGAATATGAACATACATGAATCTTTACTTTCCCCAGGAAACCCTTTTTTTTTCAGTCAACCAGGCATGTAGCATGGCTCTAAATAGGACAGAGGGATGAACAATGATAAATTATAAAGCCTCCGGACTGTGATCTCAGGGAGAAGTCACATTATCCTGAGAAAAAGTAAGTCAGTAAAGACATGAAGTAAAACTAAGATGAGCTCAAAAGCAGGCACTGGCTACCATGTCTAATCTACCTTACTGGATCCTTTTCTTGCCTGTGTTAGCTGTTATCTTGGTGCATGGTACAAATAAAACAGAGCACCTGCGAACATACTTAGCCACAGATGGGTAGGCTGCCTGGGGTAGCCTGCACAGACCATGTCAGTGTGATAAATGATACATGGTCCTGTGCTCTGACCTTGTCCAGACTGTGGTGCAGCTACTGGATATTCGAGGTTATTGTATTCCATGAGGAAAATATCATCTATGCCTTTGTGAGCCATGGATCAGGCAGGTTATGTTTTAATATTAAGGATTATGAAACAATAGGGTACCACCCACTATTTGTACAAAGAGTCTGGGTTTTATCCCTTTCAAGAGATGAGAGACTACAGCATATTCCCTAGTGAAGTATTTCTAATGTTGACAACTGCTAACTCATACGGTCTGTAAAGGACATCATCGATACTCATCCCCACTCTAACTGAACAAATCCCAGTTTCCTTACAAATCCAGTTCAGTGTGCTGCTACAACCTTTGCCATGGATTACCATCACAAACAGGGATGGCAAAAGTCATAGGGCATGGTGGGCTTAACAAGCCTGCAGCTGTGCAGTGAATCCCAGGAAAGGGATCAGACTATGAGCAGGGAGGGATGTGTTGGCCTGCTGGAAGCTGCAGGTCCGGCAATCCCAGAAAAGTGCTCTGCTGGCTGAAGCTGAAGAGCTAATGAAGCTGTGTGTGCTCCCAGGCAATGCCGATTAAATTATCCAAAACTACTTAGACCAGGTTGCCAATGTCCTACAGAACAATAGCCTGTCAGATAAGAAAGAAAAGGATCTGGGTGACTCTCTCCACCTGCTCTGTCAAAATACTATCAGTCAATCATCTGAAGAGGAATGTAAGAGGAGAGCAAGGACTTGCATCATTCCAAAGAATGTCATTCCTGCTTTCATCAAATTAAAACTGATCTGTATTGTCATTTGCCATTGGAATTATTAAGGTTATTTTCCTTTTACCTGCCCTTCCTCCCAAGGTGTCAGTGCTACAGTCACACTTTAACTATCTCACAGGCTTAGGTGAGGGTTTTTTCCTAGGGGCTGCTTCAGGGCTTGGGGACTTATAGTTGATATGAGAAAAATGCCTGGTTCAACTGCCCACTGAAGGACCAGCAAAGGAAAAGACACAGCATTTTATAAATAATTTTTTTTTAACTTCCCAGATAGGCAGATGAGTAGGCTATGATCACAGAATTTAAATGAACATGCATTCCTGCCTTCTCTGCATAAGTAGCAGCACTGCTTTCCCTTTGCATTTGTATCTTCCACTTCTCAGCCAACAAGAAATAAATCATTTCTGTGGTCCTAACTCGGGTAATTAGCCAACAAACACTATTGACTAAGTCAATGAATGAAAGAAACAGCGAACAAAGTTGCTAATGAAGTCCTTGAGGAGAGTGCACAGTGAGAAAGTAATTTGGCCCTCTCGCTCCCCAATACGGGTTTAATTTCACTACCTGTCCATTCAAAACCTCCCACACAAGCTCAATAACACTCTGTCTTCCAGTTCTGCAGTCACGAGTTTAACCACGAAAAAAACCAGAGAGAGATATATTTTAAAAAACCTTTACAATGATCTAAAATAGCTCTTTGATGCATAGCAGATGTCTTCAAAACTCGCATAAATGGAGCCAAAATGCTTTGCAGTTTTGGAAAAGGGAGATTCCAAGATAAGATGCGTTTCCAACTGCAGCAGCTCTGGAATAGATACGGAATTTATATTAATTGTCAACCTCAAAGAAAACACTTTAAAGAAGGTCTTTACTCTCCCATTTTGGGACAAGTGTCTCACTGGGCTACATGCTGCTCAAAGACCTGATGTCTGCCTGAAAGCAGTTCCTCTGTGTCCGGAAAAGATAGCAGATGGGTTCAGGTGGGGAAAAAGAGAGAGAACAACAGTCAGTGAGACACGGAGGTGACAGACTGAGGACTGCCTGCCCTTCATTGGAAGCTCTAGGTCATTACAAAGGGGTGCTTGGCAGGCTTCACTGTAGGGAGGAAGACTGAGGAGAGGTTGGAAGGAAGTCAGTGAGATGGTGCTGCAGGAGGCTCTGAGACACACAGTATGGGACTAAAAATGTAAAAGGACAAGAATCTTCTTACTGCTTTGAACAATGTATCTCACGTGTACCATGTCTTAGTTTTCATGAAGATTTAAGCTAGCACCTTGGAACGCCCTTAACTCAGACAATATTAGGCTGTGCTCATAGAATAGCTAGGGAATATCTTCTACTTGAATACAAGAAAGAGATAGAGAACTGAAAGACTGATGTAGCAGTAAGATGGAAAATTTGATATGAAATAAAACTTAGGAACAGAAATACCAGCGGTAGAAGGTTCTAGATACATAAATAAAGGTAAAAAAAATAGGATCCATTTTCCTATAAATGCAAATAGCACCATCATGCTTAATGCCAAAAAAAAGCAGAAGAGGAAAGTCAGGTAGTGATGGAACACAGAAGAGTAGTGTTCCCCTTATCAGCTCTGCTCCTTCCACCTCCTCCTGGTATACTTTCCCCATCTTCCTTCTTTTGGCATTGCAAGAAGTGGGCCAAAATACAAACTGCATATCTGCCTTTTGTATGCGTGAAATCTCAGGAAGACTTTGGTTTGGCTGAAGGGACAAGACAGGAAATCTGAGTAATGGCCAAGTAAGCGAGCTTGTACGGTGGCAGCGAGGTCCTCAGGATGTAGACGGATTGCCTTACAGGGCTAACGAGCTCCATCTGCCCGGGGAGTGTCCTAACCGGGAATCGAACCCGGGTCTCAGCGTTGACAATGCTGCGGCTTAACCACTGCACCACCAGGGGCACTCAGGAAATCTGAGTAACCCCAACCTGAACCACAGGTTCCAAATCCAGGGCATTCTGGATGCAGCCCTAAGACAAAGCTCTCTTCCATTCTACCTTTCTCTCTCAGACCTTCTTTCTGCAAAAATCCCCTCTTTTCTGGCTGCTGAACTGCAGTAGATGATACTTGACTATCTATTGCACATGCAGAATGTTTGTGCTCGGTCTATCTCAAATCCTCTTTAACCCTTTACAATATATGGGAGTATCACAGGGGACCATTCACATGGAGCTAATCAATGCTTTCCCCATGCATTTTAGAGAAAAAATATCTGACAGCAAAAGAAATCAACTAAAGAGTTCCTTCCTCAAAGGACATGAAATGGAGGGAGAGAAACCCAGCTCTTGCTCTCATCCTACTGATAAATCTTCAGGGGGTGAGGCTTGCTTGCAACCCAAGCTGCTAACCCCACAGAGTCTGACTACTGAAAGGATATTTTCCTTCCAAGTTTGTTACATCCTTGAGCATGGAAAGCACAGTTAGATAGAACAAAGATGGTGAGTTCTCCTTTATTCTGTCTCCATCCTGCTCTTCCCTCACCTTGAAGATCAAATGCCTTCTTTACTCACCTCACAAGACACAAGACAACTGTCTGCCAAAGTGGAGAATAATATGAAATCATCTCTGCCACTGTTTGCCTCTCCCTTTTAAGGAAAATCAGTAGGAAGCAAATTCCATGGTTTTTAGAGAGAACCTCTTTTATGTAGTATCTCAACAGAAATCCTTTCCCCTCTGTCTGGCACCAGGAGCATTTTGTCTCCACTACTGTGCTGTGCATTACCAGCAGTAGAGTCTGGGACAACTCAATGAAGACCAAAGATAAATAGAATTACGGGTCCAGTTCTGTAGAGCATCTGCTGGAGTAATTTCATTTGTTCACTTGGAAAACTTGTTTACTGTGCCTAGGAAATCACACCTCAAAACAAGTTTGAAGTGCACTTAAGATTCTTGCCACTTTTCTACAGCTGCCGGTATTGCTACTGAAATTTTCTTTTGATGCTGAAAGAGAAGGAAACTACTGAACAGTTCACAAATCATCAGCACAGTGGAGTTCAGTTGGATCTCTTACCTGTTGGGGTCAGATGCCTCCAGGTGATGACAGGTTCAGGACGCCCATTTGCCATGCAAACCAGGGTCACGTTGCTGCCCTCATTCACGGTGATGTCTGAGGAGATATTGGAGATCTTTGGTGGAACTGTGAAGACAAAAGAAAGTTGAACCTTGTTAGAACAAGAATTATGGAGGGCAGCCTGTCTGGCTTATTAAGCTACCTACCTACCAATGAGAGTCCTGTCACAGGCTGCACTCCTCATTACTACCTGGCTTTCTGAAATCATAACAGAGTAGTATATACTGCTGTTTCTGGGAACTGCAGTTTGAAATGGCCTTCGTGCTTTGTGTTTGAACAGGTTAGGAGGGCTTCATAAAACAAGCTCTAAGAACTTGCCTGCCTGTCCCAAGGCTACATGGAAGGAGCCAGGAGGCTCCAAGCCCCATCCCAGCTCATTTTTACAATCCAAGCAGTCCCAGACGAAGGTCTACATCCTCCTGCAGGATGCAAGACCTCAAGGCACTGATTCAGAGGATTTATTAGTTACTGGCACCTCCCATGGGCACATAGGACATATGCTGCTAGCCAGCACCCTGCTCTTCTGTTCACATAACCTAATGCTCACTGGGAATTAAGTCAATAAGCTTCTTCCTGTAGAGACTGTGCAATGGCATGAGAAGCAAGGATGTGCACCATGGCTAATGGGAATTTGTACAATGGCAACAGCAGGAAGGTTTCTGTGACGTCTTTCATCCAAGAGAGATGCCCCATGGGCTACCTGCAGTAGGTAACTTCTGGATGACTGCACCTCACACAGCACAGCACCAAAAGCGCAGTAAGGTCTTTAAAATTCACTAGACCAGCCATTGCTTGGGCATTCAGGATCCCTAAAGACCTTCCAAGCTAGCTGAGTTGGTGTCACAGGACCAGAGTGACCACGCTGGGACCTGAACACATCCAGGTGTGGAGTATGCCAGCTGTTGCAGCCTCTCCTCTCTCATATCCATGTCTTGCTTCCATGCTTCAAACCCCAGAGGTAGTGAGGGAGTTTGACTAAAAAGGAATCTTCTATTTTTTTCTTTTTTTTAATATATTTTCAGCTTCCAAATTTGTGTGTAGCGAGGAATGAAACAACATCATTTTCTGCTTTGCTTACCACAGAGTAAACAGACAACAGCCTCCCCTTCCCCCTCCCTGGCAGGAGTGCCTGATGGTCCTTCTGAGGCAAAGCCTATAAGCTAGGTGGGGAAAAGGAAATGAAGCCTGAAGAGAGCAACTCACTACTTCCAGCTATACTGCTGGATTCATAGGAATACTGGTTACAACCCACAGCTCCCTAGTCCTTCTCTGTAGGCCCCAGACTCATGGAAAACACTTGAGCATCTATGACCCTGGGACTCCCTTGGAGAAAGAGGACCTGTTAAAAAGAAGTGAGGCAGGCATGTATTTGCTGACACTCTCACTCACCCTGGCAAGGAGGGATTTAACCCAGGCACACTGGGGAAGGACTGCCATAACTTGTGGAGAAGTGAGAGTGCAGAGGGCAATAAGGAATCAGGGGAGGGTCAACACAACAGGGACACATGGGTCACTGGCAATCATGGGTAAGCAGAGCCCAGGAGTAAAACCAATGGCTAAGACCACATTTTGGGAATAGTATCATAACCTCAAAGGGTTAAGAGTTGCACGACGAAAAAAAAACTGTGCAGCAAACCAAGAAGGACTAAGCTCAATCAACATTAGCAGATGGAGTTGTAAGCCAGTGTGAAGTCCTAGCAGAATGGTGCAATGCCAGCCAAGGTTGAGGGGAGAGCTGCAAAAGCCACCACAGGGCAGCAGCAGAGCTGAAGTTAGGACATGTGTAACCTGCCACTTCCCAAAGCCATCAAGACATTTTAGTTCACACAGGATCAAGTAAACTCAGCAAATACAGATCTGACCATGCCTACCAAACGCCCAAGGGGAGAAGCATGTGTCCAGATGGTCGCATCTTGCTTGCCACTTTTCCAGACAAGGGAGAAAAGGGCATCCAAGGCTGAAATCCTGTTAGGAATATAATGGCTGGTTCCTTTTGGATGACACCTCAGTCAGAGGGCATTGAAAGGCTGAGAGAAGGGGGAATAGGGCAAGAAATAATTTCCCTGTAAATCTGAAACCTGGTTTGGCTTAGTCTGCTTGAATCCAAAGCCAGTGGACAATAATTTCCCTCAGACAAAAAGTCAGAGACTTTTAATTTTCAGGGTGTCAAGCCAGCATGTTAAAATGCCAAAACTGTCAGCACCAGCAACAGTTAGCATTGCCTCCTTGGCACTTGTCATTACTTTGCACACACCTTTTTAGGACAGTCTTAAATGAGAAGCTTTGACCTTATTATTTTTTCCCCGTGTGTGGGTTGTGTTATGTTTTCACAGGTTCTGGGCTGTTGGAAGAAGGATTGTTGAGAATAAAATCTCCTGGGGCCAAGATCTTCTGGATGTCACAGACTCCTTTCACCCAGCCATCTCCTGTTGTCCCTCAACTGCAGAACTCTTCTGTGTCTGGCCTTTTGAACCATTAGCAGAGGCAAAACCCACAACAGGGCAAGTACTACAGCTAAACAGGGCTTCCAGGCATTTTTATATTCTGACTTTTTTCCTCCAGGAGAGACCAGGCTGCTGCTGGACCCCTCTGGCTCCAAAGACCAGGGAAATGACTGCCGGGGTCTCTGGTACTGCTGAAAAAGATGAAATTGCCAGATTTTTTCCTCCCTTTCTGTGTAAATATAATATGGGGTATCCATTACACTGTACTTAGGATCCCCCTGGATGACATGGGGAGCAGAGACAGAAATGAAAGCAAGCGCTGCTCCATCCCCAGAGAGATAGAATGCCCCACCCACACCAGGGACTGATTCTGGAGAGAAGGACATGAATGCTGAGAGAAATGGCTTGAAACTCATGTATTTGTTTCTTCTACATTTCACATCTACAGGACAAAGCTGATGCCAGGTCAGTATCTCATCTTCCATGTCACTAACAGTAAATAACAACCCCCAAAGTAACCAGTGGCCATTCTCCGTAAGAAGCTTGGATTGGAAGAGCAGTGGAGCTGCAAGGCAGGAGTGGCACAGGGGCAGAGATACTATAGGGTGCTCTGGGCTGGTAAGGCTACAGGGCAGGAGAGGTGCAAGGTGAGAACCATTGTGGGAATTCAAATGCCAAGCAAGATGCAGTGAGGGAGCTAGGTAGGACAGGTTCATGCAGAAACAGCTTGCACCGCGCCTGTTCTAGTTAATTGCCGTCAATCCTTCACTTTGTGACAACTGCAACTCACATTAATTTAAATAATAAGAAAGACTGAGACATGAAAAATAGAGCATGCTTCCCCAGCACAATCACTGTTGCTCTCCAGATGAAAGCAAGTGATTTGTTTCCACAAAAACACCCGCTATAGCAGTTATTACAGACCAGGGGCTGCATACGCGAGGCAGGAAGGAAACCACAAACAAGAGAACACGCAAACATCTGCTGTTGTTATCCTTGCCTTTTACGACCAAAGCCCTTCAGAGCTCAAAACTCCTCCTGAGATATTTACCTGGGAAGGTGTGGGTGGGCTGGATCAACATTATAATTCAAGGCTATGGAAGGAGGCAAGGAGTAGTGCTAGTACCCCTTTCCTAATTTAGTTTACATGGGAACTGGTCATGCCACAGCTCCCAGACAGTCCAAATAAAGTAGCACAAATAGGAACCACTGCTTTGCACAAGCAGTATTTATAGGCAAGGGGTACTTAAAGGCCCCCGGCAGCAGTTTCTGGCTCCTGCACTGATGGCACTCCACTTTCAGGATGCTACATGCAAGATCTCAGTGCAGGAGGAGGAGGGGTTTGAGAGACAAGGGCAGGAAGCACAGGACTAGGAACTCAAATCAGGTATGGTAGAATAAAGAAACGGAAACAGAGGAGGTCTTAGTTGGAAGACAGCTCTGAGCCCTGTAATGCACACACAAGAAATTCACAGTCAGATATTCTGACTGTTCCCTAAGGGCAAACAGAGCTTTGCATAAGGCCCTTCAATGCAGCTTCTACAGTGGGGCATCTACTCCCCAGTCTGAAATTACAAGACTGCTTAACAGTCAAGTATTTTGTCAATAAGTCACAAAACACATTTTACAAAATATGTCTCTTATTCCCACTCTACAGACCTATGATACAGCAAAAGCTATTAATACCTTTAGGACAGAGATGCAAACGGTATTGAAACGTCCTAAGAAAGCCCAAAAGCTTATTTTAAGTGCTCTGCTTGTCCCAAGAAGGGCACCTTGGATACAAATGGAAAAAGTCACTGCAATTTCTTTCCATATATCCTCATTAGTTGCTTCCTCCAGCCTATTTCCTTCCTCTCTATTGGCAAGTAGGACCCCCATCTGTTGGAGAAAATTAAGACTCCCATCCACTAATACTTAGGAGCCCCTGGCTCTCAGGGCAAAAAAAGAAAACATCAGGACTTCACTCCAAAGTCAAAGGAACTTTGCAGCCACTAAAACCCTCTGCAGGTGCCTATCAATTAGCCTCGAGAGTTCTCATTTCCTTGTCCCCAGCTCCCAATTAACAGCACTTTGCAACAAACGAAAAGACGCTAATAAGCCCCAAGGCATAGGTAGGGGGGATGCTGCCCATCATATGATCCTTGAATGCTTTGGAGCAGCCACCTTGCTCACCACAATTAGGGGTCCTTTCCTGGGGCAATTAATTGACAGCAAATTGGCCTCATTAGTCATTGTTTAGTTACACTGTTTAGTGGGGAAGAGAGGACCTGAAGACGGGGCTGAGCTGCTAAACACAACTAAATGGTTTAATTTCCCTCTTATGTATACAGCAGTCTAATCACAGCTCTTTACCGCTGTAACAAGAAACAGCTTGTTGAAGCTAAAGTCCGCAAAGGGAGCAAGCTGAGGGCTGGAAAGTAAAATCCAGACACCCTTTGGGATGAGGCATGCTAATGTTTCTGAAGCATTTTGCAGAAGAAATGTGACACGAGACCCAAGATGTGTTTTTTACGGTCTGATTCACACTGCAGCCTCAGCCAGAGGGAGATGAAGCTGTCACCAGGGCAAGAGGGCAGAGAGAGAAGTTGTTGAACTTCATTAAAGAGAGTGGACTCTGAA